ATCCAGTTGTCCCAGCACTGTGCCCCAGGGACCATCTTTCTTCACCGAAACATTTTGACAGAGACCAGCTGTATGCGCAGTGTGGGTCTCTTTCTGGGTCCCATCCTCCGGACACTAGCACCGTACTGTCTCATTCTGGTATCAGGTTAGTGGTATCCTCCAGTGAGTTGTGAACAGTAGACTTCCCAAGGGACTCTGTGCACAGTTCATATCCCTCATTCTGGAGTATTTGTAGAATTTACCAGTGAAGCCATCTGGGCCTGAAGTTTTCCTCATGAAAATGTTTTAAACTATAATTTAAATTTTCAAATAAATAAATGTGGAGATATCCTATATCCTATATGGTTTCTCTTGACAAATTTTGTCCTTCAAGGAACTTGCCCATTTCAGTTAAGATGTCAAGTTTCATTATCATGACATTTCCATAATATTCCCTATTAACAGGCTAATCATACATATTAATGAGGTGCATGCACTGGGTGTGCATGCTCCTCATTAATATGTGTGTGCCCGTGTGCATTGGTCATATCCAGCCACCCATGTCCCCTCCCACCAGCACCCTTCCTGGTCCTCAGGAATCACTACTTTATTTTAGGTTGAGTCCTTCCCCTTCCCCTTTTTACTCCTTCTTTTCTACACATGTAATACTTCTGGGAGCCACAGAACCACAGAGTTTCCCCCCATCTTATTACTTTACTTCCCCATCCTCCAGTCCTTTGTTGTTGTGGTGGTGGTGCTGAGGATTGAACCCAGGGCCTTGTGCCTGTGAGGCAAGCACTCTAGCAACTGAGCTATATCCCCAGTGCCCCTTTCCTCCAATTCTGAAGGTTGCCTTCCATTTCTCGGTGTTGCAACCTGGGCCCTCTACAGGGAGCATTCTCAATGGGTTGGAGCAGCCCCTCCACTGGGCCAAGTTGGGTTCATGAGGTGGCCATGTGCAGAGCCAGTACAGGGCCATGTCTGTGGGGTCCCAGGGATGGGAATATGCAGGGGATTCTGATCCCCAGAGCAGTCCAGGTTCAGACTGGATTTGTGAAATCCTTTTCCAAAGCCAGGCTACTGTTCAGATTTCAGCTACTTATCTAGCAGGCCTTAAGAGCTGTGAAACTTTCCAGTCGCTAACATTGCCAATTCTACACTGATAGAGTTTGCCTGGGCTCTCCTTCACACTTCCCTGCAGAGGGGAAGATGATGCCTTCCCCAGCTGTGGAGCCAGGGTGGCAGGTGCTGGGATATTTTGTTTCTCCTACTGTGCTGTTGTTCCAGGTCTCTGGGTCTTACTAGGTGTCTGTTTTCTCCTGTCGCTGTCCTGTGTTCTCCTATGACCGTCACCTCAAGATGCAGCTGTGCACCTGTTGCTTTGGTCTCTTATTCATTAGAGAGGCAGGTGAGTGTGGGGTGCCTCTGTTTCGCCTTCTTGGAGAACGCCCTTTTCTCTTTTTCCTCTCTATTGAATCTTTAGAATCTTTTATTCCTAATATTGGTAATTTGTGTCTCATCTGTGTTTTTCTTATTGGTCTGCATAGCATTTTTTCAGTAAAGGGAGATGCCGCCTTTCTTCCTCTTTGCTAGTAACGAGAAGACTAGAAATTTTATGTTTTTACCAATTGGACAAGAAAAAAATTGTCTCTCAGCCCAAGGGCTTCTTTGCTATCCATCTCTCTTTCTACATAAGAATTAATTTAATCATAGAATTATTTCCATTGATGTTTTCATAAAGGAATTTCTTCATTAGTGTGTGATTTTTTTAAAAAAAACTGAATTCTTCCCTTGTGCCAATAGCGCTAGAGTTCCTCAGATGAATCAAATCCTGGCTCCTCTGCTTTGAGGGTTTGTAAGTGAGTGGGAGTGAATGAGAGTCATATAGTAGATGTCCACACAATTACCCTGTGGAGACAAAAGGAGAAATGGCAACCTGACCTTTCCAGAGAGGAAGGAGAAGGATTTTGGTTGGGGTATGTGTTGGCATGTACAGACAGACCAGGGTGCTTCAGAGTGAGGTGCCAGCACGAGTGAGGTGCTTGCAGAAGTGGAGGGAGAATGGGTGGACCCCAGTGTCTGCAGCAGAGGGGTCCAAAGCAAGCGTGTAAGGAGAGGAAGCTGAGGAGTGAGAAGGGAAGCTATTCCCTAGAGGGCTCTGCTGATCCCCAAGTGGACTTTGGCTCTGCACCAGGGTGAGACCAAGGGCCATTCCACTTCAGTGGACAGTCAGTTCTGACTTGTATTTTAACGGGATCATTGGGATGCTCTGTTCAGTCCAGGAGTTATTGTAGTAAGCCAAGCTCCACGAGAGATCATGTTCTGATCGCAACAAGGGCAGTAAAGAAGGTAAAGGCATAGGCCTTTGAATGTTATCTGAAGGTGGTGACCTCACTGCATGGGTTGTATGTAAGTGGTGAGACAAAGATGGAGAGCCATGAAGACCAATTACAAAGATCTTTATGTGTTGAGCAAAAGACTTTAGATTTCATCTTGAGGCCCTGGGGTGCCAGGTATGAATTTTAAGTAAAAAGAGGCACACATCAAGTTTTATTTTAAAAAGCTGATTTAGTGGCAGGATTGAGAATAATGCTGAAGGGGCATGTTGGAGGCAGAGGAAACTGTTGGGAGACTGTGGTCAATATCCAGACAAGAAGAAATGACAAATTAACAGAAAACAGCTATGGCAGTGTGTGGCTTAAAAGAGCACACAGCATTCAATGGATTTCTGAGAGTTACTTTAGGATCTATTGATCCCCAGTCATAAGGAATGCTAAGGACACAGGATGGATAGTTGAATCTGAGAGACTCCCTGCTGTGGATGGGAAAGGGGCAGAGAGGAAGATAGTATGCCTTGGGCTTTCTTGTTGGTGGATGGTGCAGGCCCTTTGCACAGAAGAAGAAGCTAATTCAAGAAAATATAATGAGTTCTAACTTAGGAGAAAAGATATTACTTCTATTATAAGCCTTTTAATCAAAATATCTCTATAATAATTAAAAAAACTTGATAAACCTTAGTTATCCATACCTATCCACTTGTTCTTAAAAAGCTTGACTCTTACAGTTCAAGCCACATGCTGTTTTGCAGAGTTAAAAGGGATGTGTCTGTGTTTCTATGCTGTTATAGGACCGTCCCAGAACTGGGAGTCTGACCACAGCCACTGTGCACCTGAAAGAGCACTATTCATAGATATTATTCATAGAAAATGAGATCACTCAGGAGTTCTCAATGCCTGTTTGTAATTCGCCCATTTACAGTTACTTAGTATGCACATATTTTTGGTAAAGGAAATACTTTATGCTGAGAGATGATGTTTTTAATTTCAAATCCCCCTGAGGGGATAAGGAGTGGGAATTGTGCTGGAGCAGAGGAGGAAAAAAAACCAGAGCATCGCTCTCTAAAACTCATTCCCCAAAGAAATGGGCTTGTGCATGGAGGGCTGGATTCCAGGGCCAGGTTTCTGGAGGCCAAGCAGCACACCCTCAGGTGTCAGAGATGAAAGGCAGGTGTAGGACAGCCACCCGGGCTGGCGGGAAGAACCTGGAGTCCACGCTCAGGCCCTGGGTGACAACTTTGCTTGCCAAGGCTGTCCTGCTTCTGCTGGTTGACTGGGGAAGACTGTGGTGGTCAATGAAGTCACCGATGTCACCAATGGTCCAGTGAGTGTCTTGGTCCCCTTGTTCTTGAAGGCATGCTTCCAGGAGGGTCTTCCCCAAACACAGGTTGGACTGATTCTGTCAGGCAAAAACTTTTCAATGGTGAACAGCAGAAAACCCAACCTAAAATCACTTAAATCACTAGGAAATCTATCAGGGTACATGGAAGGGTGGATCTTGCCAGCTCGAGGGGCAGCTGGTTTTAAGGGACTTAAATGAAGTCACCAGGTTCTTGGAGGTGAAATAGCAGGAGCAGCCTAACTGTGTTCCCCTGTCATCAGGCCAGCAGCAAAGGCTTCCCCAACCTCTGTCCAAGGCCAAATATTCATTTTTATCTTGGGCCTGGAAGGGGACCACACAGCTCCCCTAAATGAGTCACTATTATCAGGGGAATGCAAATCACTCTGATTGTCTAAGACCAACTGAGGCCCCTCCTGTATATATAGATGTCAACTCTTCCCCAAAGAACATGGTCACCCCAGAGGGACTTGGGTACAGTTTCGATTAGCAGCATAAGTGAATGTTGGGTGGTAAGCAGAGGAGAGGGCAGCCTTTGCCGCGTCATCCTGGCCTGTAATTCAGCCAGCCAGTCGTTCCCACAGCAGTAGGCTGCCAGCCACCAGGGCTTACGGATCTTTCTAGTTTTACACCTCATATCTTCCTCTCCCCCACTGCTGCAGCCCTGATGCACTCGCACAGTCTGACTGGAAGCTCTGGGAGGTGGAGGCTCAGAAATATTTTATTACTTTATGTGCAGGCAAAACCTCAGATCAATAAAGGGAAAAAGTTCGCATCATACCCGTAAGGGGGAGAAGAGCCTCCAGAAGTAACATCCCTCTGGGCACTGAGATTAATTTTCACATCCTGAGGTTTCCAAGGGCATCCATTCCCCTTTAGAGAGAGCTGGAAGGCCTGTTGGGGGTGAGGGTGGGAGTGGGGGGCTGCTTGAAGGAATCCTTGGCAGAGGAAGTCAGCCGGAGGAGCCAGTTCGATAATTGCAAGGTAAAAGCAAGTGAGTTAGCAATTTGGGTGGATGCAGGATGGAGCTGTGCTGGCTTGGAAAAGTCCCTCTGCTGCTAGAAATGCTTGGCCAGTGTGTTCAGGGTCTCACTAGCTGTAGCTGCACCCCGGCCGCTTGGCTTGTTTTATGGTATTTTTTTTTCTATCATATTTGACCTAAACATCTTCTCATTCCACTTTTTCTGTCCCCCCAAGCCGTTTCCCTGATGCCCATGAAAAGGCCCCACATCTGATATTAACCTAAAACTTCCTCCATTCCTTAAAGTGAGTTAGTCATTAACAGAACCTAAATTACTGGTTGGTAGGCAAATCTTCTAATTCTTTCAAACTACAAATCTGCTCAGAGAAGCTGCTGCAAATCTACTATAGAAGTGAGGGAAGCTTTGGGCCAGTTGTAGGATCTAAACAGAAGTTTGGGAGAGGGAGGAGAAGTTGTTCATTCACCCGATTCTGCACGGTGAGCCTGTGGGGAGTCAAGGCCTCTGCAGGCTTGACCAGTGCTCAGGGAGGAGCTGGAGGCCAACAGCAGAGCAGCAGGACAGGACAGGACAGCACCCCTCTCAGCTTGGTTCTGGGTGCCAGCTGAAGCGCTTAGCAAGCATTTTGGCTTCTATTTCCAATGGTGGCCACCATCCTGTGCTGAGAGGTATGGCTATCTTCTTTCTTGTCCTTTTGTTAGGCAAAAACAAATACTAATTAAAGTAAGTGACAGAAGCCAGGGAGACAAGGAGTTGGGTTGGGGGAGTGGGACCAGGGACTTCCAAGGGCAGGCTAATTATGCAGATTAGTGGAAGCTGTGTGTCCAGCCTGTAAGCCAGGCTTCCAGATGCACAGGCTGTGCAGTGTTGTCTTACTGGACAATAGTCTAGCTGCATTTCCACAGTACTTTTGTTTACCTCAAGACACATTTTGTAGTGGGCGAAAAGCTGTCTCTGCCCGTGATTTTCATAGAAAACTAAGTGACTTCATTGCAGTCAGTGGGCTTGATGGAGTCACCATGGCTCTTGCTGTTGATATTGGTTTTGCTTTGGTATTACAACTATCTTACAAAGCATAATTGAATATAACCATTGTTTGGTTCTTTTGGATATATGTTTAAATTGGTATGATAATCAGCCATGAGTTCAATGTCATTTTACATATATTTTAAAATAAAGAGTAAAAAATACTTAGGATATTGTATGAATTGGTCATATAGTTGTAGACTGCATGACTACATTTAAGGGTAAATAAAGATACATTTTAACATTGAGTATTCCTCATACTTTGAGAGTTTGGCCATGTTTTCTGGAAAAATCAACCCATGGAATTTGAACTAGAATTTTTTTTTTAAAGCAAGCTTTGTATGTTTCAGAGTAAATATGACCTATCATGTTAACATTTAGAGATGAAAATGGACATATCATGAAATCATTATGAGAGATCACAGGAATCTGATTTCAGAAAATTTGTTAGGCTTGAAGATAAATTATTCTCTGTGAAGGAAAATGTTTCCTATTTGTGTCAAAAGTTGCAACATGCATTCAAAATTAAATATACATTTTAAGCTCTTGCCTAAATGTATCTCAATTTTCTTTTTGCATGTGCTTATAATAGCCCTGCTAAAATGTAGACTGCATGTGTTGTAGCAAAGAGGGCTGGGCCCTTCAGCACCATTTGCAGTAACCCAGGGTCAGAGGCTTGGTCAGACATGAGGGGTAGCAACCTGCCAGGGCAGAGGAACCCAGGATTCAGGGAACAATGGCCATCTGTGGGGAGGTTGAAATATGTGTAGCCCGTTCCCATGGAAACGCCTGTGTTCTCACACTGTGTGAAAAAGATGCTCTTTGTAAAGAATCTGTAATCCTGTCTTTCAAGGGAAAATCTGAGAACTTTATCCAAAGTTTCTAGAACTCAAACGGGTCTAAGTTAGTCAATGAGTGTTTTTAATTCAGGTGAATAAAATGAAAATGTTTTGATGCAGAGCAGTTTTGTCCAAAACATAATGTAAATAAATATTGCTATTCTAGAATTTTCTGAAGTGAGAAAACCAGACATATCCTAGTGTGAGTTGGCAGTTAAAGGCTGAATTCCTCAGAATAAATGGGTTTCCTGAGTTAATTATGTTTCTCAAGATCCACTCCCATGCCCTTAGTAAAGCTTTAATTTTTCCACCAGCACTATTACAACTTGGAGGTATGAAGTCCTCCTGCTCACGTATATTTTCATACAGGAAGATCTACAGATGCATAACAAACGGTTAATGCATTTATTAGTGCATACTGAGTGGCAGTCACCTTGAGAAGTCATAAAGAAAGCGCCGGGTGCCCCACCATTCCCTTCTGTCTAACAATTGTGGGGCAAGTGCTAGCTTACATGTAAAGTGGGCATTTGCTTCTCTCAGTTACAACATAGAGCTATGTTGTACTCTAGTCTGTTTCAGCTCTGTAAAAGCATTCACTGTTTTGTTCAGCTATCCTGGGGAAGAATCACAGAAAGACTATCTCTCCAGGGAATGAGATAAAGTTGCCAAAAAATCAACAGGGACACATTCCAGATAATGAGATGTACAGGTGACAAATGAACTACCCCCCCCCCCCCGTTTAAGAATGAGGAATGTACAACTGAAATATAAAAATGACAGAAATGGAAAAGACCTACGCAAAGTACACTGAGAACCCAATTTAGTTAGCAGTGCAGTGGTTCATTAGCTTTTAAAAGCGAGGACATGAGGATGTTTTAACAGATGATGTTATTAAGGTCATGGCTGGGGGGGGGGGGTGCTCTATGCCAGGCTCTGGGTTAAACATTCAACACAATCTCATTAAATTTCCAACCACCCAGATCACGATCCTCAAGTGCAAGTGAGGAACCTGAGGCTCAGAGAGGTTAATTAACCTGCTCAGTTCACGCTGCAGATAATGGCAGAGCTGAGACTGGGGCCCAGGACTGTCCAGCTTTCCACAGTCTCATCCCTCTGCTCTTCCTACTGGAGTCTACCCAGTGTCCCATTCTAGACCCCACACCCTTTAGAAAGTGTATGAACATTAGATAGATAAAACCTAGGGGGGAAACCAGTAATCATGAAGAGAGAATGAAGAAGAAAAATCTAAAGAAATCTATAGTCTGTTCCCTTAGAAGAGGAGACTTCAGTAGCAATTGTAAGTTGGAAAATGGCTAAGAAAGAACACACCTTCTTTTGAATGACTAGGTTCTCCTTTTCATAAAGGAACTCTTCATAGGCACTGTACCCTACCTGAGGATTGATCACCAGGTGTCTAGGAAGGTTCATGAGGTTACTGTCCTGGAGCATGTGACCTGGTTCACCTCTGTGGGGTGGCTTTTCTGGAGCACAGTGTCCCATACCTGTGTGATAGGGAAGGTGGATTCACTTAAAGGACACCTGCCTCTATGTTTTGCCACCAGCAATTGATCTGATGGGCAATAGACCTACTCAGAAACAGACAAATAAGAATAGAAAAGAATACAGTTTAAAAATGTGGTTTTGTAATTTGGCTATTGTGGATTGTGCCACGATAAACATGGGTATGCAGGTAGCACTGTGGCATTCCAATTTCCTCAGGTATACACGGAGGAGCAAGGGATAGCTGAGTCATATAGTGGTTCTGTTTTCAAAGAATAAGGGAGGGTTTCGGTGCCCTCTTCTTCTTTGAAGTGCCTATAGATTAGGCAAGCTAAACTTTTTTTTTTCCCCCTAGTGTTGCTGCAATGTTCAAGAACGTTAAGTCCAGCATATCTGGTCCGTGTAGATTTTCACACACACACACACAAAAAAAAACTTCCCAGCAAATAAAGTTGGAATAGTCAGACGCATGTCTGTGGAGTAAGAATGTTCGCTGCACTAGCAATTTCCTGCAGCTCAAACTTTCACCAGCCCTGATCTAGAGGCAGAGCAGGACTGTTTCTCCAGGAACTTGACTCACAACAAGCGCTTGGCGTTTCAGGCACAGCGCGCAGTCTCGGGGGCTCCCTGGGCCGCAGGTCCCAGGCGTGGGGAGCCGCGCAGCCACCCACCCACCTGCGCAGGCCGCCCGGCCCGGCCCCTGCGTTCCCCGCCCCTCTTCCAGGCCAAGGGCAGGTTTTTAGGAACACAGACGGTTCTGTCTGTGAACAACAGCTCTCCTTACTGGGCAGGCTCGAGTCGCCCCAGCGGCGCTCCGCAGGTCCCGCTGGGGAGGTGCGGGTCACCTGATCGCTTCGCGTTCCTCGCATTCCTCCGCCTGCTGTGCCCGTCCGCCCGCGGAGCCGCCACGCAGGTGCAGGTGCGCCCCGAGCTGCAGGTAAACCGAGTCCGTGCGACCGTGGGACTCCTGGGGAGGGTCCCACCAGGCGCAATCATTCCTCTTTGTCCTGCTCGTTTCTTCCTAGGGAAACCTGACTCCAACCAACACCTGCTTAAAAAGGAGCCAGGAACCCAAACTAAATAGTGAGCAGTGGGCCTCAGAACAGAATCGCTTAAAGTTTAGGGGAAGAAATTATGCATCAGAGAAATTAAAGATGCAGATTAAAAAGGAACTTTATAAGCCCTCCTCCTTTTCTGTAATAAGTATGCGACTTGGACACTGACCCACCTAGACTACAGTGTTGGCTGTGTGTGTCTCCTGGGGCACAGGGGCCCTCTCTCCTCATCAGTAATAATACCTCCCTGAACGGCTGATAGGAGAACTAGGAGGAAAGTGTGTAGCGAAGGGCTTGTATTTGAGTGTGCACGCTCAGGTGTGTTTGGATGTGTATACACGGTGTGTACACGCACGCGAGTCTGTGTCTGCATGCCTCTGGATGATGACATTCATAGGGTTAAGGAGTTTCTCAAAAAATGAGGCAGAATTTGATCTGGGTCTGCCCACCCTGCTGTTGCTAAAAAGACCCGCAGAATTAGCCAGACATCTGAGCAAAACATTGGCCAGAGCTGCTGAAAAATAAATATCGTGACTCCCAACTCCTCTTTCAGATAAGGGAAGCTGTGTAGTGCTTCTTAAATGAGGGCTGCTGGGAGGGGGACACAGCTCATAACAACCATTGCACATGGTTGTTTATGTGTCTTTACAATTCAGGAGAGGGCTTTGTCCTGGGAGACAAGTGCCTTCAGCCCTAACTCTACCACTTATTCTCCCCATGTCTTCAGGCTGTTGGTTGTTTTTCTCTTTGAAAATCATCCTATGGAATCTTCAGAATAATTCAGTGACTCAGTACTTGGGAAGCACTCAGAGTAGTGGAGGACACATGGTAAACATCCTCTGGATATTGGTTCTTGATTGTGTAGGGGCAAAAATGGATCTCTCCAGCCCATCATAAGGGGTCACAGTCGACTCTCTTACACTAAAAGGTTAATAAGGAAAAGCATAGTGAATTCACTTGATCAATTTTATGTGACACAAAAGGCTTTAAATAGAAGACCCAAAGATCCAAGAGTGAAATGTTCATTTTTTAAGCTTAGGTTCAATGAAGTATGGGCAGCCATGTGGAAATCTGATTGGACAGAAGGGGTGTGATCTAATTTTAATGGACTGAGTGGTGAGACCCAGCAAGGCCTGTCTGTTCATATCCTTCCTGGCCTCTCTATGCAGCATTCCTTCCTCCTGGGTGCCGGGCAGCACCCCCCTGAAATGGGGGTCTTTTCCCCCACATTTTCTATTGAGTGCATTA